CACAAACAGCATGGAGATGGTGGGGAAGGCCCGTGTAGAAACATGCACAGGACCCTGTGTGCACACCCCCAGATGTGCAGTCTTCTGCTGGGCCCTCAAGTTCATCTTACCCATAGAACTCGCAGGTCTGGTTGCCCAGGTATACTGCCACGTTGCTCCCAGCCCCTAGGTAATGTCCCGTGATGGTCACCATGGTGCCTCCTGACTCTGGCCCTCGGATGGGGTTGAGTGACAGAACAGAAGGGTTCTTTGGAAGAAACCAGAGAAATGACCACAGCTTAGGTTTTGTCCAAAGGGAAGGACCAAGGCTACACCTCAGGATAGAAGGAGGTCTTCATGCTGGGCATGGAAGTTCTCTTCCTGCCCTTTTCAATCGCTCCTCGGCTTACTCTGGAGCTGAAACCCTTTCTAAGAAGAGTCTCTAGGCATGTCTAGGGAAGGCAGAAGCGCCACACGTTGGAATTAATTAACTCCCTGGAGAGTATCATGCTCATAACACTGAAGGGAAAGCGGAGGTGACACTGACTAATCTATCAATTAGTTTACAAATTGTGAACAATTTGAAAATGCTCTATCTAGAGCCCCAGGGAAGGCAGAAGGGCCACACGTTGGAATTAACTAACTCCCTGGAGAGTATCATGCTCATAACACTGAAGGGAAAGCAGAGGTGACAGTGACTAATCTATCAATTAGTTTACAAATTGTGAACAATTTGAAAATGCTCTATCTAGAGCCCATACTGATTTTTTGGGCACAAAATCAATAGAGCTAAATAAAGCATCCCTGCCTGGGCTGGGCCCCCGAGAGGCTACAGTCCTCCATTAGTAGCCCATGCACATGTCCTTCTGCCCCCCTCCAAGCATGTGACGGGCACAGCAGGGTTCCTGCTGCAGTGAGCTGCTGGTAAATGTTAGACATGGCTTCTCTGACCCCCATCAGAGGGATGGCACATCACTGGCTGGGACCTTCTAGTAAGCTCACTAAGTTGTAAAATTAAGGCTGATGCTTAAAAAGACATGCCTAGCCTAAAATACACCAGGCAGCTGACCTACATCAGGAAGGAACTGCTGCTGCCTGGAGGGCAGTGGAGTGGAGCGGAGGGTGCATTTAACTGAGCAACTATGCAGGTGAGGGGTCTAGTCTGCATTAGCAACTCGCTAGCTGTGGGCCCTGAGCCAAGTTTCAGGTTCATTCTGGACATGGGCTTGCTCCTCCATCAGGTGACAAGGGGAACTCAGTTATCTGTAGAGCCCTTCCCAGCTTGACATTCTACAGCTCTCTCCCATCTAGTCCTGTGTTTGCTTCTCGCACAAGACTCCATTTGCCCTGGGCAGGAGAAGGAGTATGTGAGCTGGGGATTGTCCACGGTACTCTCCAATCTGAGAGAGAAGAGTGCAAGAAAAAGGCAGACATGCCAAGATGAAAAGGTGGAGGCTAGGAAACCTAAAACAAGCAGTGAAATGCTTTAGAGAGAGTAGAATTTTGTGGCCTAATGATTTTTCAAAACTCTTAGCAAGGCTGGTTTGACCCCATCCTCTAGTGTTAATGCTTTTTAGTGCAGTACTCAATGTGGCAATGTAGGTAAGTGTCAGAAAGGGACTTCAGGGCCCCAGAAGCAAGTTATTGATTCAGTATGAATACAGCCCCGGCAGACTCCAGGACCCCAGAAGGAAGTTATTGATTCAGTATGGATGTAGTGCCAGCCTTACAGAAAGACTTTGTGATTCTATTACCTGTTTCCTGAGCGTGAAGAGACATGTGAGTGTATGTATGTGTGTGTGAGCATACCGACACACAGAATGACTCGCTCGCACACCCTACTCCAGTGGTCCCGTGCACAGACACACGTCCCTGCTAGATTTCAGTGACTCTTCTAAACTCTCACTTAAAATATCCTTGGCAGAAAACAAAGCATGCAGATAAATATAGACCCATTTAATTAGGTCCCTCAGGCGATGTGTCCTCATTAGGCTGGAATCAGACTGAGACATCACATTGGTGGGACAAAGGGCACCCACTCCCTGCCTCGCATCTAGGATCCACTTACTAAGAAAGGCCAATATTGCCTTATTTAGAACTCTGACCTGTGGTCCTCTGAAACTCCGAAGTCCCCACAGCTTTGTTCATCACATGCCTGACCTACTCTGGAAAGACAGGCTTGCAAAGCAATGAGGCCAGAAGTTGCCTTTTCTGTTCTCCTATTTGGTGTGCAAGAAGCCTGGCGGTGCCTGGCCTGGGAGGGGAGGGTGGGGCCTTCCAGGCAGAAGTGTAGAACAGATGTGTGCCCTTGGTGGCCTCCTGCAGCCCGGCCCACACCCGGTACTCACCACAAAGGTGTACTGTTGATGGGACTTGGTCATGAACTCGGGCTTACACTCGCCAATGCACAGACGCACAGGCCCAGAGGTGGTTCCCACGAGTGCATGGCCCATCTCGCAGACAATCCTGGGGAGAAACAACGGCTCCAGTGAGAGGCTTAGCAAGAACTGGACTCCCTGGCCCACTTGCTCACCCAGTCCCAGTGAATGACACCTCATAGTCTTGAATACTGCTGGACCAAGACTCAGCTTGGTCAACCCCCAGCTGTGTGACCTTGGGTTCACTGCTTTTCCTCTCTGGGCTTCAGTCTCATCTGTATAGTGTGAGAATTGAATTGGATCATGTCTAAAGTCCTCTGTGCCTTCGATACGCTATGCTGTCTAATTCTGTGACCAAGCCTGTGGTCCCCAGGGCCTAGGGCAGTGCCTGGCTTTGGGTAGGTACCCACTATTTGTAGAATAAACAGAATGTCCAGCAGAGAGCTCCAGGGGCAACCATTTAGTTGGTGTTCTCTCCTCTGTGACAAGCCAACAGTGCAGCACTCCCTGAAAGAGCAGGTGACGGCCTATTTGCCAAGCTGATTCAATTGTGTTTGTTTCCTGCAGTGAGTTTTAGAAAGGGGATAGATACTCTGGTGACACAGTGAGAGCTCAACACAGGGGCTCCCAGTGAAACGGGAGGAGCGGAGTCCCGTGGCAGAGGGGGGTGAATGAGATCGTCAGCCAGCAGTTGATGCTGGAGTCCCACTTAATCAAGGGCTGAGTGTGCCAAGCAGGGGGGCGAGGCACTGATAGGGCCCTGGGTTGGAAGTTGCATCTCAAGCGACAGGAGAGCTGGAGGGAAGAGGAGGACAGAGTCACCCTCAAGTAGCCCAGATCAATACCCCCAGTGGTGACTTCCCGGCGCCTGAGAACGGTGACACAAGCACATTTAGATACTGGTTGCCTTAGCCACAGCAGCCTTCTAGAAAGGGTGGGCAGCTGGAAGCCACGGGAGGGGCTGAGGAAATCAGGCTCTTGGGGGCACCTCTAGCCTGCAGTTGCAGGGCCTGTGTTGGGTCTGGGAGAGCCCACCAGGCTCAGCTAAAAGGAGCCTGGGAATGGAGGGAAGGATTTTCTTTTCCTCCCAGCACCATTTAAGAGTTCAGAGCAGTCTGGTGCCCCTGGTAGGTTTGCTTAGTGGGGAGTCAGAAAAACAGACCCCCCTCCACTAATCCCCAGCATTATCCTGGCACGGTGGGGAAGATCCGTGTTTAACCGAGCGATGCTTATCTCAACAGCTTCTCTAGGAAGGAAGGTAACTAAACAGAGATTTCATTTCGATGTAATAAAACTTGCATTAAACAAATACGTCGCATGCTCACGCACACGGCACGCCGCCGATCTCCATCTCCTTCATCACAGTTAATCCCAAATAACTACTTTCACTCCTGGCGAATATTTACTTAACATGCAATAACTGTCTTATTACGTTTAGCATATTAGATTCAACAAGAAAGTACTGGCTGCACATGGAAGAATATTTTCCTTTCTCTTTCTCTATGAATAAATTAATTAATTATGAACCCAAGTAAACATGATAGTGAGGATCAATTAGTATTTGACATGCAATTCTCTCCTTAAACCTCATTAGCAGAGCATTTGAAAAACTTAATTTAAGATACTGTGTGTGGTTGTTTTCATGCTGCTACCTGCTTGGGGTAACGACTCTCCCATCCTGTTTCCCGGGCACTGGCACCTGCCCCTGTCTGGGGTCCCTGCCATCCTGCGCATCATGCCCTGAAGTCTCAAGGAGCTCCAGAGGAGAATCAACCACCTACTGTGGGTGGTGGGAGGGGAGGAGGGAGCAGATAAGTCTTTTTCCTTCTCCTCTAATCAGGGCTTGCTGGTTCCTCACTCATCAGCCTTGGACACTCTCTTGGAGTGATCCTTGAGAAGGTGGAAAAAATCACCACAGGCTTGAAGTTATGGAAAAAGGAAATATGAAAACATGTGAAGGTCACGGGCAGCACTGAAACGTTCCCCTCTGGGCCCTGGGCCTGTCTAGGAAAGGAGAGGGTCTTGGATAGCCCTGCTCAGCTGTCCCTGTATGGAGTTAATGGGCCGGGGCCTCTTCGCACACTCTCTTTTCTAGGACACTTATTGCTCAGGGTTCATGTCTGAAAAGAAGCTTTACAAGTCAGGCACCTGGGAGAAGAGTGACAGGTGTGAGACGCCACCCAAGTGCCTAAAGCTGAGCACCTGCAGTTGGCTCTGAATGCCCCCTGGCAGGGCATGGTGCAGGGGCCCAGGGGCTGCAGTGAGGCCCGGAACCGGCCCACAGGCTCCCTTCCCTGGCACTGCAGTGAGCTCTCTCCTTGCCTGTGGAGTGAGCAGGGAGAGGGCTGTGGTTAGCAATGGGCTGCAGAAAATGGTCTGGGGGGTACGTCTAAGAAGTTGATGAGAGTCCTAAGGAGATCAGCATTGTAGACAAACTCTTAATGTCCTTTAACTCTTTTTTTTCCTTTTATTCCTGGGACCAGCGCCAGGAGCGATGGAGGCCCTTGAGTGTACTTATTGTAGGTACTTGTCCTCAGAGATCAAGGCGACAGGGAGTTAGGAAGAAGCACGGTCACTTGCAGGGAGTGGAAAGGGTCACATTGTGGAATGAGTGTTATGCCAAGGCAGAGTCTGTATCTTAATAACAGAACTACAGTTTACTGATGGTGGCAGGCGCTCTGCAGGACAGGATCTCATGTCATCCTTGGGCTCTGCTACAAGGTGGATCTTATTGTCTCCATTTTGTAGACAATGAAACTCAGGCTCAGAGATGCTAAGTGGCTTATCTATGGCTACAGTTCTAGTAAGTGGCAGAGGCCTGATTCAAATCCAGGTTAGGTTGACTCTAAAGCTCATGCCTTTTGAGCACTCCATTCTACTAATGCTAGATTTAATGGAAAGCTCTGTATATCTCTTAAGGAGGGGACAGTATGAACATGGCAAAAGTGACAGAGGTGAGGTCATTGGCAAGGGGTGGTGGGGAATACCCAGCGGTTCCTGAGGCTCTGAGAGCTGACCATTCGTCCCCCTCCTTCCTTGGTTGTAGATGGCACAGGCAGTGCTGTGTGCACCTCCTCCTCCAGGCCTTGCAAGTCTGCAAGCATCCTGAGGTTTGGTTGCTGGGGGCCTCCCACATTCCCTATCTCCTCCCTGTGTCCCTCCCTGGTGGCTCTGGTCTCCCTATATGTTGTTAGGAGACAACAGCTGGAGATGCCTACATTTTTTTCTTTTAAAATGAGAAGCTGAACCAAACTGTCCAGCTTCAACATTTGAAGACTTGACTCCTGTTTGACAGGGGCTTCTGGAGACACATTAGTGCCACTGAAAAACTGTCTCATGGTGGGAGGTGTAGATTCTATGGGGCATATAATTTACTGCTTTGGACATCTTAGGGACCACAGAAGTGATTGTGGAGATCATCTGTTCCTACACACTTAATTTCTAGAAGAGACATTTGAGGATCAGTGAGCAAAGGGACTTTCCCAGAGTCACTTAGCTCATCAATAGCCGAGCTAAGGCTTAACCTTCAGTCTCCTGGCACCCAGCCCCCATCCCCATACCATTTACTTCACACAGATGTGCACGATGGTGCCTCACTCCTTGAGGTGGGGAGCACACGCACCTAATATACATTTGGCTGTGGTTGAGCTTACAGGTTCAGAAGACGAGAGGCAGGGCGTCTGAGGACCCTAGCTGGGTCTGCCTCACGCAGAGCCCCTGTCCCAGGAGGGGCTGAGCTGTAGTCTCAACCTGCAACCATCGTCTGGAAAACATCCTGTGACCGAATCGTCCAGCCCTCCACAGACCTGTGGGGTGCTGATTGCAGGACTAAGCGGGGCCCTTTAACCAACATTAACCTAATTGCTGAGTGATAGATGGCACAGCACAAGCATATGGTGAATCATTCCCATGCCCGCTAATCCTGCCCGTGCCCGGGACTCTGCCCTGGGCCCATTTAGCCAAATTCATCTCTTGCAGACATCTGTAATGATTGTGCCTGCTGCTTACTGCCGGGGATGGAAGCTTTAATGATGT